AGATTCAGAGAGATTTCCCAAGCCATATATCTTTCAGACAAAAGTTAAAGAGGAGACTTGAAATTCAGGTCTCTACTAATCCCAAGTAGAAGCTTCTTTCCAACTATACTATACTGCCTTGTAATGGTATAACTTACACCACATACAATTAAGAAAACTCTTCTTCCCTCTGTGGCAAGCTCTTCATCTCCAAAGAATCTGTACAGCTCCCCAGACCTGTAGTGCTACCCTAAAGTTGAGTATCCCTGAAAAGGAAAAGCAATTGGAGTCACTAGAAATTTGGCATCTTCTTCTCAGACTTGCACAGTCCACCTAGCTCACAGCACAGTAAAAGTCAGTCTAGTCTTGTTTCTCCAAATGATGGCTTTATCCTTCACTTCTGTTTTCCTCTGGCTCGTGCTTGTCCAGGGGCATGGTAGAAGAACTCATTGTGACCTGTTGTTGCTGGCTTACATTCCTCCAGTTCCAAGTTTGGCCTAAGAGCTCTTTGCTGCTGTGACCCTGCTTTTGTCCACTTTCAGGGGATTTCTCTTCTCCCAGTGCCACATGTTTCACTGATGCATATGATTCCTTTTGAGGGACCCCAGGTCCACAGAGTGGGTGTGTCTGACCATCTTTATTTTGTTGGATTTCTTTTCTCCCCATCCCTCTTCCTTTTAAAGGATTAGTCAATGAGGGGAGCCTAAATCGGTAACATGGTGTCTGTGGCCCATGATTACCTTGCTCAAGATGAGTCTGCACCTTATCAAGGAGACCTCATCAATGCTAGAATTTCAAAGACTACCTTGTTAAACACAAGGAATTAGCATGATCAAGAGAATCTCTCAGGCAGGCCTTACTAGTCCTTACATTGGGAAAAGAACTTAATCTAAATTTGAACCATTGTTTCCATTTTACTTTTTCATCAAAATCAAGACCAGCCCCAGAGAAAATGATGAAGTGGCTGATTTATCTTTGGGTGTTCTCTTCTATCTCTGCCTTCTTCTTCATGAGATACCTCTTCAACCTGTCCATGGCCTGAAGCTTACCCCTACACAGCTTCAAATGGGGAAATAAAAGAGCCCTCTCTGTATAAAAAACATTCTTTACCCATTATTTGGTCCCACAAGGCATGAGACAGGATACCTCCCCCTTTCGCACCCTAACTTGATTCTCATAACTTAATACTCTGGACTTCTTTTCTCACTTCATAACCTGCCTAGTGTCTCATTCCTTAAGACTTTGAAAGGTGATTGGGTTATTAATCTTCAGTAAATTAATTCTGAGTTACAGTAGGAATAAAGCTGATTGGGTGTTTGTGCTAAGTTTGGCACCAATATGGATGTGGAGGAGGGGGAACCCAGGATGACTGAGGAGGAGCCCAGGTCAGAAATGGAGCCAATTTGTGCCAGTTAGCAGTGGGGTTGGGCCTATGAGTGGCCACTGCACTTCAAGCCTGGGAGAAATAGAAAGACCCAAGCTCCACCAAAAAAAAAAAATTTCTGGAGATCACCAGCAAAATGGGAGTCTGAGGCAACCGTGAGAATTTCAGAAAGTGTCTAGCTGATGGTCAAGGACATGATGGTGCTACTTTTGGGTGATTTTCTCTAGATCACATTGACACGGGCAGCTGCCTCTTCTGTGTACAGTTTAGCTTGACTTCAGCTTAAATAATACTGATCTGTGCTTTGGGTTTCCAGGAAAGAGAATGTTTCCTAGAATCACGGGATCATAGATCTTGGGGTAGAATGAAAGAACATTTTGGAAAAAATCAGCCCCAAGGGTTATTAAAAACCAAAATGAAACTCACTCTTTACTCCTATCACAAGTATGGAAACTGTTTGCCTCATTTCTGTTAGATATTATGGGTAACCATGGAGCTGTGAGGCTTTCAGGACCGGCAGTTAGAATTGGATTGTTGTGTCCCACAGGTAGTAGGGGAAAAGCTATGCCTGGTACAAAATGGCCAAGGCATGGGGTGGGGAATTCATTCCTCATACAGAAAATTGTGCCTTTTGCTTACATTTAGGCCTAGGTCCTTGACAATATGCATCAAATGTGGCTTAGAGAAAAAAGTACCGATATAATGGGATCTGGGTTCTGCTCCTCATTTGGCCACTGATTAAGAATGCAACCACGAGCATTTAATTTTACTGTTTTGTGCCTCAATTTCCCTGTCCTAAAAGTAAAGGTATTTTTCATTAAAAAAATTTGAATCGGAAATAAAGATGAGAGATGTCCCATCATTTCTCATAGATACTTTATGGTGTGTGGGTGGGTGGGTGGGTAGGAGAGGGAATATCAGGGAGCAGATGTTGAAATGTTTTGAATTATTTTTAAAGAAGAAAAAAGTCCTTTATCAACCCAAGGTGCTAATATTTTTATTTCTCAAATCAATCTTATTTTTAAACTTTTCTGAAGACATTAGACTCTAGTCAAGCTACAATGAATCCTGTTGTTGAAACTGTTTTTGTTTAATTCAGTGTTGGGGTGAAAGGGAAAGCATTTCAGGTACAGTAGAAAACCTATACAAAGGTACAGAAGATAGGAGATGTAGCACCTCTTTCGATGAACCAGAAATAGGCTGTTGTGGTTAGAGGGTGGAGGGGAATCAAGTGTAGGAAAACAGGAAAGGTAGGAAGGAGCCAGTTGTAAAGTGCTTAAATGCTAAGCAGATCCTGAAGGTGAAAGGAAGCCATTGGAGTTTATTGAGTAGAGGGGATGATGTGGCCAGACCTAAACTTTAGGAAAATCAATTTGGCAGCTGAGTAGTAGGGAAAGAATTGAGGCAGGTGAGCAATTAGAAGGCTATTGCAATAGTCCAGGAGAAAGGTAATGAGGTCCTGAACTAAGGCTGTGACTAGACAGGTGGAGAGAAGGGGATGTATAAATGTGGTAAAAGCAGAAATAAGATGAGGCAGTGGACAGGATATGTGGGTTAAGTGGGAGTGAGGGATTGAGAATGATGAAGTTGTGAGCCCTTGACAGTGATAGGGATGTTTGGAAGGGAAGGTTTGAGAAACTAAGATATGTGAGCTCCATTTTGGACACGGTAACTTCTGGATGCCTACAGGACATCCAGTTCTAGATGTCCGTCCAAAAGGTGATGCCTCCTGGTACTCAGGAGGAATACTAATGCTGAATATATAGGTAGATATATAGGTCTGGGAATCCCAAAGATCATCATTAAGCCAATGAGATCACCGAGGGAGATAGTATAGAGAAGGGAGAGAAAAGGAATCATCCCAAAGTTGAATTTTCATCCTCAAAAATTTGTCCTGGTAGAGGCAGCTCTTGAAGGTTTTTGATCCATGCTGATGGAGGAGGTACACAATACAGACAAAAGTTGGAGAACTGAGATTTCCTCCAGAGGAATGTGGAGGAAATATGTGCTTCATTGTGTTGTGAGAGTGACTCCAGGTTCTCAAAGGAAATCCCAGGAGACCTGAAGCTCTTTGTTCTGGGCCAGTTGGCCCACTCAGTGTTCCCCAACCTCTACATTCCATCATCAAATGCCAGGATTCTGCCCAAAATGTCTTCCCTATGAAAACTTCCTCCCCTCTTAGGATCTCCTAACTTCCTTCAAGCCTCAACTCAGGTACAAATTTTTACTTAAAATCTCTTCTAGTTTCTCTCCTGAAATTACTTCGTATTTGTTAATGTGTACCTGTTGTGTCTCCCCAGTGGAATGTAAGCTCCTTGAGGGCAGGGGCTATTTCTTGCCTTTTTTTTTTTTACCCCCCAGTGTTTAGCATGGTGCCTCCACATGCATAATAAATGCTTGTTGACTGGCTAATATTGTTTCATTTGGTTCTCCATATGCTATTCTCAGCACTGTTCTAGGCACTGAGGAGACAAAGGAAAAAAATCCTTTCCATGAAGGAAAGAGCTTACATTCTAATGGGAGAGATGCCTACATGTATAGGGGTGTATACCAAAACATCACCTACAAAACAGATACAAAACAGTAACTTTGGAGGAATGGGAAGGCACTAAGAAGTGGGGAATAAATGGACTAGGAAAGATCTTAATGCAGTAAATCTAGTACCTGATTTGAATCTTGAAGGAAAACAGAGATGGAGATAGGAAGGGCGAGTTAGAGAGGGAGCTATTAGTATTTTTACTTTTATGTACTGTCATTGTGTGTAATCAGATAATATACATGTTGTCTGAAAGGATCACTGTTCATTCATCATAGATACTCATTCTTCTAAAGTTGGGTAGTAGTGCCATATAATAATAACATTTTTAATAGGATATGCTTAGTTAATTAGAACATTTAGACCAGGATTTCTCCAAATACAACCCAAGGACCCCTGGAGCCCCCCAAGACCCTTTCAAAGGGTCTGTAAGGTCAAAATTGTTTTCATAATATTGAAACATTTTAATTTCTAATACAGGAAACATCATTAGATGTGACTGTACATAAAATAAAGCTGTTTGAGGGTAAAAGGGGTCATAAGGGGTCAGAGTGAAAAGGGGTCATAAGACCAAAAAGTGGGGCAGAGAACCATTCCCCTAGATCATCTTCTATATGGATGACTTTCAGTGAAAAGATCCCAGGTCATGATTATCTTCAGACCAATACTCCATAAAAAGCAAAATATGCTTGCAAAGATTTTGTTACTTACATAAGGTTTTATTTGTCTCTTGGCATATATAAATTCCCAACAGTTTTATGGACATGTTCTTTAATTGTACTATGATATAATTTTATATATATATATATATATACATATATATATGTGTATATATATATGTATATATTATTTGTTTTATGATGTATTTTGCTCCTAAAATCAAACACACTTCCCTACATTGTGAATTTTTTGATAAAAATGATGATGATGCTTTTTATTTTGTGTCTAATGGCTCCATATTCCAAACAAAACATTGCAACAGTGTTTTTTCATGAATATGAACAAATATAGGTATGAGGCTTTCCAACTGCAGCATAGTTGTATTTACAAATGTACAATTCCATGATTGAAATGAAGTTGAGTTTCCTTTTCCTTTCCCAGGAGAATACTTCACAGGGACCTGAAAGCAAAGAACATTTTTTTGAAAAATAACCTACTTAAAATTGGTAAGATTTTTCTTTATATTAGGAATTGTGCAGTAGTGAAACACTGAATTCTAAAAGTCTTTGCGTATCAAATTAAACTGGATGGTATTGGGAGTGGCTTAGTTAATAGGAATTCATTAGTTTATAAATATTATAATGTCTCATTTTTACCAGGATCCATAAAACATAAGCCTGAATTGATTTTGAAACCAAAATCCATTATCTTGTTTTTTTAACCTATGCTCTCTAAATGGGAGAAAAAAGTATACGCCCACTTATATAGAAAATGTGGAATTAATTGGACTTGTCTCCTGGCTTAATGGATTACTACAGGTTCTCTGCTTATTTTCTGATGTCCATAAGCGCTTATTACAGATAATTAAAGTGTGGATGAAATAGTTTTGTTAACCTTTTGTCCTTTGTGGTAGTTGTTTAGACCTCAATACCAACCCTCAATGATTAGTTATTAGATTTAGTAATCTAAACTTTTCTATTTTTTTAATAGAACAAGCAAATATAAAACCTAGCAACAGTAATTAGTCAAGAATAAGCAGGGGGTGGCTGGCAGAAATCTGATTTTTAAATTTTATCATTTTACCTTGGAAAACCATAGGTTTTTATTTGTGCATGAAATTTCCTTTTTGCTGGTGAGGCTGAAACTTTTCCTATTTCTGCCAAAATTACTGACTATATCAAATTTAGCTTTGTCTTTGTGCCAACTGATTTGTACCAGATGTTCATTTCCTCAGGATTCGTCTCTAAGGAGGAGTCCATTGTTGGCCAAATGTTGGTTACCACTAAGACTTGTCACTTCTTTGGCAGCAGAGTAGTGACTGGTGGGGTTTTTTTTGTTTTTTTTTTTGGCCACACCAGCCCTTGAAGACAATCTACTAAAATTGCACATGGGCCTTGAGCTTCATTAGTGTCATGAGAATGAAATAATAAATTTTTGAAGCATTAAGGTGGTTGCCATTATTATATAATTGTGGAATTAACACTATGACTTTCATTTTTTTCTTTGAAAAATAATATGCTTGAGTATTTCAATGGCCATGTTGACACAGGTACCTATTTAATTGTTGCACACCTTCTCATTTGGTGTACCATTCTTCCATAAATTCCTCCGTGGGGTCCATCTAGTATGCTGAGGGTCCTTTCCCTAGAATTCTAGGCCTTGTACAGGGAGCAGTGGAGCACGTGTTTTATCCCTGAAACAAAGAAAAGTAATATTTTTTGGGAAAAATTGATGTTAATTCCATTAATTCCTAGGGTATGATAATGAATTGAATTGATCTGGTTGATTTTTAGAAGTAATAATAAGGTTAACTTTTGTCTTGAGGGGATTTTGGAGTCTCCCGGCTCTTAATGGGATCATGTGACCTGGCGACGACTTTCACTGGGACGCCTTACTACATGAGCCCCGAGGCGTTGAAACATCAAGGTTATGACACCAAGTCTGACATTTGGTGAGTGAGCATTCTGTTCTTTCTGGTGGAATATCCTGGTGTAGTGAGATGAGGAAGGAATTCTGCCCTCTGCTTAGATCTCCATCCACTGACCTGTGGGAAGTCTTCATTTTTCTTCCTTTTGACAAGGAATAATTATTTGACATGAGGGGAAATAAGAAAACCTTGGTGGTTGGCTTTTTTCTGTATTTTATTACAGAATTTGAGAGATTTATTACAATGACTTAGAAGATTCGCTTTATTTGAGTTTAATTGACTGTTGTGGTGTTTTCTTGAGAGGCAGCTTCATGTAGTCAAAAGAACACGGGCCTTGAAGTTAGGAAAACTTTAGTCAGATCCATCCTCTGATACAACCTCAGTTTCCTTATCTGTAAAATGGGGATAATAATACCTTTATTACTTATGCTTCCTTGTTGTTGGGAAGAGCAAATGAAATAACATATGTGAAGGGCCTTTTAAACCTTAAAGCGCTGTATAAGTATCAGTCATTCTTATCTGCATCATCATCATCATCGTTAAAGGAAATTCTCAAGGTACGTTGAGACATGAGCATTAAACAAACTGAACTGATGGGAACCAGAGAGCACGCCTTGTAACCACACTCTTGGCTTTCATTTTAAAAGTATGTGCCATCTTCAGAGATAGTGCGTTACTTTTCTCTGACACCCTTTCATCTTGATGCATTTAAGTAATTTGTTTTGAAAAGTGAATTTGTTTTCTGTGACAGGTGCAGTGGTAGGATTCCTTTGTTAATGTGCCAGGGAAATCCTTAGCCCATATCATGAAACCAGTGTAAGCCTCTATTCAAAATCATTTCTGAAAAAATGTTTCCAACATGTATTCTTTTATAAGAGATATGGGAGCTCAGTGGCACCACAGCGCACAGAGTGCTGGGTCTGGCGTCGAGAAGAGTCACCTTCCTGAGTTCAAATCTGGCCTCAGTCACTTACTAGCTGGGTGACCCTGGGCAAGTCACTTCACCTTGTTTGCCTCAGTTTCCTTGTCTGTAAAATGAGCTGGAGAAGGAAATGGCAAACCACTCCTGTATCTCTGCCAAGACAACCCCAGGTGGGGTCACGGAGAGTCAGACATGACTGACACTACAGAACAGCAATAACAACAAAAAGGACAGACAGAGGTCGTGCAGTGGGTAGAATGCCGGACCTGGAGTCTGGAAGAACCCAATTAAAATCTGGCTTTAGATACTTGCTAGCTGTGTGACTACTGTGGGCATATCACTTAACCTCTGCCTACAGTTTCCCTGTCTGTAAAAAGAGTGGTAGAACTAGATTAACTTTGATGTCATTTACAAGGATAAATCTAGGATCATATCATAGTATAAGAATGCTCCTCCCGAGGCAGCATGTAAATATTTCAGGTTACTCAGTGTTGGGGGGGCGGGGCCAAGATGGCAGAGTGAAAGCAGTGACTTGCTTGAGCTCTCCCCCAAACCCCTCCAAAAACTCATAAAAAAATGGCTCTAAACAAATTCTGAAGCAGCAGAACCCACAAAAAGACAGAGTGAAACAAATTTCCAGCCCAAGACAACCTGGATGATTAATCAGAAAGGTATATCACGCCGGGCTGGGGGCGCAGCACGGGCACGCAGGCCGCAGCAAACCTGGAGCAGGCCTCAAAGGATTGAATCACAGGCAGCAGTGGAGGTTTCCAGACTCCTCAATCCACCAATGCCAAAGACAACTTAGAAGGTCAGTGGGAAAAGTCTGTTTCTGCTGGTGCCCAGAGAGGAAGGTGGGGTCTCAGCTCCATTACCCAAGAGCGTGGCCCTGGGGAGGGGGGGGAAGCTGCTTCCCAAGCTTCTGGCCCACAGACTGAGGGGGAATCCAGTGGCTGATCAGAGAGGGATTGCAGGGATCTCTTTGCCAGTGCTGAGGCAGGAATCTCTTGCTTTGCCTGTGTGTGGATCTGGGTCACAGTTCTGGGTGGCGGTGCTGGGGTGAGGAGGAGCTCTGGCATGATGGAGCTTGTAGTGGCTATAGAGAGGAACTCCTCCTCACAGTTACAGGACAGAAATGAGTACTTGTCACAGGCCAGTAAAGGAGTAAACACCTCGCCCTTATCATACCACCTTGGAAGAACTGAAAATTTACAGGTCCCTACAAGTATCTCTGAAAACAGCTGTACAAACCCCTGAAGCTTGGGACAGTACATTCTCCACATTGGAAGCAGACTCGTACCTTAACAAGGAGTTTAAAACTCAAGTAATTGGCTGGGATCATGAGCAAGCAGCGCAAAAAGAGTCAGACTATATTATCTTACTTTGGTGAAAAAGAAGATCAAAATATAGAACCAGAAGAAGACAACAAAGTCAAAGCTCCTACATCCAAAGCCTCCAAGAAAAATATGAATCAGTCCTAGGCCTTGGAAGAGCTTAAAAGGGATTTTGAGAAGCAAGTAAGGGAAGTAGAGGAAAAACTGGGAAGAGAAATGAGAGTGATGCAAGAAAATCATGAAAAACAAGTCAACAGCTTGCTAAAGGAGACCCAAAAAATACTGAAGAAAATAACACCTTAAAAAATAGCCTAACCCAAATGGCAAAAGAGGTCCAAAAAGCCAATGAGGAGAAAATGCCCTAAAAAGAAAAATTGGCCAAATGGAAAAGGAAGTCCAAAAGCTTACTGAAGAAAATACTTCCTTAAAAATTAGAATAGAGCAATTGGAAGATAGTGACTTTATGAGAAATCAAGACACTGTAAAACAAATCCAAAAGAATGAAAAATTAGAAAACAATGTGAAATATCTCATTGGAAAAACAACTGACCTGGAAAATAGATCCAGGAGAGAGAATTTAAAAATTATTGGACTATCTGAAAGCCATGATCAAAAAAAGAGCCTAGACATCATCTTTCAAGAAATTATCAAGGAAAACTGCCCTGATATGTTAGAACCAGAGGGCAAAATAGAAATTGAAAGAATCCACAGATCTCCTCCTGAAAGAGATCCCCAAAGGAAAACTCCTAGGAATATTGTAGCCAAATTCCAGAGTTCCCAGGTCAAGGAGAAAATATTACAAGCTGCCAGAAGGAAACAATTCAAGTACTGTGGAAACACAATCAGGATAACACAAGATTTAGCAGCTTCTACATTAAAGGACTGCAGGGCATGGAATATAATATTCTGGAGGGCAAAGGAGATAGGATTACAACCAAGAATCACCTACCCAGCAAAATTGAGTATAATCCTTCAGGGGAAAAAATGGTCATTCAGTGAAATAGAGGACTTTCAAGCATTCCTGATGAAAAGACCAGAGCTGAATAGAAAATTTGACTTTCAAATACAGGACTCAAGTGGAACATGAAGAGGTAAACAGGAAAGAGAAATCATAAGAGACTTATTAAGATTGAACTGTTTACATTCCTGCATGGAAAGATGATATTTGTAACTCATGAGAACTTTGTCAGTATTAGGGTAGTTGAAGGAAAAAAATTATATGTATGTATATTAGATAGATAGATAGATAGAGGGCACAGGGTGAGTTGAAGATTAAGGGGTCATATCTGGAGAATAAAATTAAGGGATGAGAGAGGATGATACTCGGAGAAGAAAGGGAGAGGTAGAATGGGGTAAATTATCTCACAAAAAAAAAACAGAAAAGTCTCTCACAGTGGAGGGGAAACAGGGGAAGGTGAGAGGGAATGAGTGAATCTTATTCTCATAGGATTTGGCTTAAGGAGAGAATAACATACACATTCAATTGGGTATGGAAATCTGTCTTACCCTACAGGAAAATAGGGGGAGAAGGGGACAAGAGAGCAGGGGGGTGATAGAGAGGAGGGCAGATTGGGAAAGAGGGTAATCAGAAGCAAATACTTCTGAGGAGGACAGGGTCAAAAGAAAGAATAGAATAAATGGGAGGGCAGGATAGGATTAAGGGAAATAGAGTTAGTTTTTCACAACATGTCTACTATGGAAGTGTTCTGCATAACTGCACATGTACAACCTATATTGAGTTGCTTGCCTTTTCAATGAGGGTGGGTGGGGAGGGAGGAAGGGAGAAAATTTGGAACTCAAAGTTTTAAAAACACATGTTTTAAAAAAAATGTTTTCACATGTAACTGGGAAATAAGAAATACAGGAAATGAGGTACAGAAGTCTATCCTGCTCTACAGGAAAATAGAAGGGGAAGGAGATAAGAGAAGGGAGGGGGGAGAGATAGAAGAGAAGGCAGACTAGGGGAAGGGGTATTCAGAATGCATGCCATCTTGGGGTGGGGGGAGGGGTGAGAAATTTGGAACTCAAAAACTTGTGGAAGTGAATGTTGAAAACTAAAAATAAATAAATTTATATTTTAAAAAAATAAATAAATAAAGTATGTATGCAAGTTAAAGTCCAACAATAAAACCATATTTGAAAATGCAAAAAATAAAATAAATAAATAAATAAAATAGAAAGAAAGGTTACTCAGTGTTGATGGGGCAACTTAACCATGACCTTAACAATTTAATAATTTTGTATTCAGATGAACTTAGATGTGGGCCCAAAATAGAAGGGATATTTTACTTCTCTTTTTTTAAAAAATCATAATATGTAATGTTATCTCCATCTGATCGTGGACAAAAAATAGTCATATGGACATTTTTATAGAGCTCATGTTTTCAGGGTAAAGAGATGTTCTATAAGGTTTTGAACAGGACGGTCAGGAAGAATTCTCTAATCTGGTCTGGACCTGCCTCAAGGCCTATTACTCTCTATTAAACACACAGAAGGTTTTCGCTTGAATGGAAATAGACGATATCAGTGGGGTCATCCATTGCATCCCGCTCCATGAACAGTCATTTTTGTCTTGCCACTAGACTTTGATGACTCTGGAAGAAAGAGTGAGCCTAACAACATTGTGCAATTCTGCCTCACTTAAACCTAATTCACACACGTCAAGACATCACCTGTGATGTTCCTGGTCCTCTTTGAAAACAAAGGATGAACAACAAGAGTGAATTATAAATATTCTAATCCTTCAGTATAAGATTATATAAATGCAA